AGCTTCCTCAAGTCTAGCTATATACTCTGGGTAAGGTTCCTCAGTACCTTGCCTAATGCTAGCCAATGAAACTGATGTCCAGAACCCTGCTTTGGTTAACATGCGTTGTATCATAGTAACCAACATTTTTTCATTCTTAGTCAATGCGTGCCCCATGATTCCTTGATTACTTACACTTAACCGGTGATCCTTTACCGGCGGGACTGCAGCTCCCTGGTAAGAACCGTACCTGACTTCTGAGGAAAAGAGAGAAAAGATTACCTGTTCTTCATGTCCCTGTTCAGGCGCCACCTGCCGCAGACCACCCAGAGGGAGACCACCACTGCGGGAGAACCAGGGAGAAGGCTCGAGGAAAAGTCAGGAATCAGCGAGGAAATGACAGACAGACACACAATGTGTTGATGTGCTGCTGCAGATTTACTTCTGCAAAATCAGTGCTTATATTCTTTTACAATCAAGGAACTTGTCAGGGGGTTACATCAGACTTTTAACTTTTATAATTACTTCAGAATCAGCAAAAAACAATAACAAAGTATATCAGTATCTATTTCTGTGTAATGCAAGAGACAATAACAAAGTACATCAGTATCTATTTCTGTGTATCACTTCTGCAGCTTGGAATTCATTGCGGTTGTTGCTTAAGGGCATGATCTCAGAAATTTGTGAAATCTGTCTCGCGCCAAAGACCACATCTGTGGGAACCAGATTTTTACCAGCCAAGGTTTAACTCACCCTCTATATACTTTTGTATAATATCATTTATTTCTTCCTCACTCCTATATATCCACTTATCCTTCCAGTTGTCATATACCCTTCTATACCAATACCTTAGGGCTGGCTTCATATTTTCTATGATCTGCTGTCTTTCTTCTTTACTATAAAGGCACCAAGGCTTTCTAGTCCTGGCTAGCCTTTCCATAAAAGGCAAATCACTCCAAAGTTGTTTCTTTCCTTCATGATTCACTCATCTATTCCCAACTTCATCATAGCCTCCCGTATATGGGAGCAGTTCTAGGTAATTTCCACTCTCAGGGGTCCACCTAGGGGCTGTCCACCACCACCACCACCACCACCACCACCACCACCACCACCACCACC